GGTACCGGGAACCGAACTCACGACCTTGTGCTTGCCAGGCAGGCGCTTTTGCCGCTGAGCTAAATCCCCAGCCCCTCTTGCTGGTTCCTTGCTTATCTCTAATCTCCCTCTGTCCTACTGAGACACCTGGCACCCACCATCCACCATTTATGTTTTGTTCGTCCCTCATACACATTTAAGCACTTTCAAACTTCTTTTTTTGTTTGCTTGTTTGTTTTTCCGGTACTGGGAATCGAACTCACCTTGCGCTTGCCAGGTGAGCTAAATCCCCAGCCCCACTTTCAAACTTCTTAACTTGTGCCCCTGAAAAAATTCAACAACTACAGTAAAAGTAGTGTTTTTTTCTTCCTTTTTTCTTTATTTTTTGAAGATGGTGGAACTCAAACCTAGAGAATTGTGTATGGTAGGCAAGCATTCCACCACTGTACCCTGTTTGGTTTTTGAGGTTTTTTTCGGTGCCAGGCTTTGTACTCAAGACCTTTGGACAAAGCTGCATCCTCATCCTTTTTATTTTGAAACAGAGTCTCACTATGTCAGTAAATTGCCTAGGATGGACTTGAACTTAATCCTCCTGCCTTGACCTTCAGAGTGCTGGCATTACAGGTATGCTTCACAATGCTTGGATTGTTTTCTTTTAGAATGACATCTGTGTTGAAGAGATGATTTTTAAAGACAGTTGACTGGTTCCTATAGACACTGTACTTTTTTCGTGCATCACCAGTTGTACTTAGAATAATCTCTTAGAGCTTTGTGCCTATTTAGAATTTTATGCCATGGCCTCAAACAAACGATGAAGGAGATAGTGATCTGAGAATAGTGAGGTATCTAAGTACAGATGGTTAACAGGAAAAGCACCAAAAGCCCTGGCTAATCCATCTTTGAACAGTAAACACTTGATGAATGTGCATGCAGTTAGGCTTTTTTTTTCTTTTGCAGTTTTGAGGTCAGGCGCTACCTTCAAGCTTCTAGCTTATTCCCAGTCCCCCTACTATTATTATTGTCTATCTTGTGTTCTTTATAATAAGTTTCTTCCACTTGCTGAAGTCATTACCATAGTGGTTATTAGGGATCTCTTCCCTTGAAATAGTAAATACCTTGAAGAATTGCAGCTTTGTAATACTCTGATTTTGGCAACTCGTAACACGTGTAGGTTTTACTTTTATTATTTGTGGTGGGGTTTTTTGGTTTTTTTGTTGTTGTTGTTGAAGGAACAGCTGTGCTTTTGTTAAGAGAAAGATATAATCCAACACATGTTGATGAGGGTACCAAAAGTCGGCACTAATTGGTATAGGTCCATCTGGATTTGTGGTCGATATTCTAATAAGTTTTAATCTTATTCCTAAGGATACCATTCTAGTAGCGCTTTTCTTTTGGACGTCTTTCCATATTTTCTAGTCGTTCCATATTTTCTTTTCTTTACCAAGAAAAGATGAATAAATTGCTGGTTTTCTTGCTTTTGACCCCAACAACTGATAACTTCACAGTTAATTAAATTTGCCATTCGTAAGTGAAGCAGCAACACTAGCTGGCCACTAGTGAAATCCCAGCATAATTGAATGTGCTTATAGCTTCCTGCCTGATTGAACTTCCCTGTGACACAGGTGTTCTGCATCTTTAAAAGCCTCTTGTTACCCAGGCGCAGCTTTGACTTTTCACACCGGGTGCACATTTGGTACAAGCAGTGAATGAATGTGATGCATGAATAAATATTTGTGTTCAACCCACACATCTGCTTCTCTCCATCTCTAGTGAGTTCATCCTGTTTTTTTGTTTTGTTTTGTTTTCCAGCTGCTGTGACTTACTCGAAGCCTCGATTGGCCACATTTTGGCACTATGCCAGGGTTGAGCTGGTTCCTCCAACCCCTGCTGAGATCCCTGCAGCTATTCAGAGCCTGAAAAAAATAGTCCATAGTGCTCAAACTGGTAGCTTCAAACAGCTCACAGTTAAGGTAACCATGGGCTAAATGAAAACGTATGTGCATAACAGAAAAGGTCTTCCCTTGGGGTTCTTCTGATTATTTTGATTAATGTTTTTTCCAGTGAGGCTGAATCCAAAATAATGAGAGATAATCTTTTTTATTATAAAGGAAGATAGTTACTTACTTTTCTGATTTTGTCATCTGGGTAGAAATACTTCGACTGTTTTATGCCTTAGTTTCCTAGTTTTAGTTTGGTTTGGTTTTTTGGGGGGGGTTTGCAGGGTTTTTGGGGGGGTTGTTTTGTTTTTTGTTGTGGACCTAGTGTTGAACTCAGGACCTTGCACTTGCCAGGCAGGTGCTTATGCTCCTGGGCTATATCCCCAGCCCTGGTTTGGTTTTGAGATCAAAAAAAGCCACAGCAGTCTCACTATGTAGTGCAGGCTGGCCTCAAATTCATAGCAGTCCTCCTGCTTCAGCCTCCCCAGTGCTGGGATTACAGATTATGTACCACCACCACGACGACGAGCTTGTTTTCAGTTTTTTGAGATAGGGTCTCCATTATGTATTCCAGGTTGGCCTTGAACTCACTATGTAGCCCAGGCTGGCTTTAAACTCAGGACAACCCTCCTGCCTTAGCCTTGCAGGTGCTGAGATTATAGATGTACGCCACAATGCCCCGCCCTAGTAGTTTTATACTATAGCAAGAAAGCATATTTTAAAAAGTAGAGAACTTTTTTGTTGTTGTTAGTTTTGGCTAGTATAGAAAAATATGTGCTGGGCATGGTGGCACACACCTGTAATCCAAGCACTCAGGAGACTGAGGCAAAAGGTCACTGTGAGTTCAAGGCCAGCCTAAACTACATAGCAAGACCCTGTCTCAGGGAAAAAAAAAAAAAGAAAAATATGATGGCTTGCTTTGCTAATTTACTTTTTTTCCATCGTTAATCCTGGAATTATTTCCAGTTCAGCCAAAAGAATTTACAAATCATATTTAATTGGTACATTTTAAATATATATAATGATCACATTCATCATAGAGAATTTGTACCCGTACATGATACAGGTTTTTTTTTTTTAGAACTCTGAAATTATATTAGGATACTAACACTTACATGGAGGATAAAAATGCTAAAAGTTGGGTTATCAAGTTACTTGAAGCTTAAAGACCATAAGAATGAACTTCAATTTTATATTTGCTTGATCGGAGCAGAGGGTACAAAAAGCCTAAGTAACTAATAACCTTTGTCCTGGGAAATACGGTTATTTTTCAGAAAACAATAACTTCTGGTCTATTTTGAAGGAGAAAGTTCACTTCCAGAAGTGTTAAAAAGACCCAATTTTGTTATAGAATGATATTTCTTCAGAGTTTTAAGGTCCATATTTGTGCTTTGATGAAACAGTGTTTTCTTTAACGGTTTGTTTTTCCTTTGGGGTGATAAAAATTCACTCAGTTATAAAACTGAATACTTAGTAAGAATTAAGCCAAATAATGTAAATAAAAGTATGAAGAAGAAGACAGAGCCCTTCATCTTGAAGCAGATTTTCTTTGGCCAGACAGAATTGTCTGTTCAGAGACTTGGCCTTCCTGTAGCCATCCTTTCATATGAATGCCCTGTCTAAAAGTGTCAGCTATTTCCAGGATGTGGGTTGTTTTAGGACCTATAAAGTGTCTCATAAACTAATAATGAAAGGGTTAAGTCAGTTCAGGTCTCTAAAGAATGCTTTGAAAGAATTTATAAGCTCTGGACGACTTACCTTACAAAATTGAAAGTTCAAGGGTTCTCAGCAGTCGAACGAAGTTAACACCAATAAGTTAACATCAACATTGACTGAAGCTGCCCGGTAGTTTAAATAGCATCTTTATATTGTCTGTACTTAATCCTGGAAAAGAATAATTTTAAATATATAAAAAAAGAGGTACCTTAAAACTTGTACTTTTTTTTTTTCCAGGAAGCTGTGCTGAATGGTTTGGTGGCCACTGAAGTATGGATGTGGTTTTATATTGGAGAGATCATAGGCAAGCGTGGCATCATTGGCTATAATGTTTGAATGTCTTTAACATCTGATTGTATTGGATTTAGTATTTGAATGTTCTTGGATGACATGTGATCAGAATTATCTGCTATCTGAATAAAATATGTCAACTACCAGTGTTTTCTCTGTCAAATACTCATGGAAGGTCACACTTTTTGATACTAAATTGGATTCTTTTTGGCTTTGATACTTTAATACAACTCTAAATGCAAGTTTTTTTAGTCTGAATTGGAAGATATATGAGATAAATATGTGAAGATACCATTTTGATTGGAAGATTTAAAATACATTCCAGAAAAATTGGGGGAAAGGCCTTAGGCAACCAAGAACATGCTGGGAGCTGGATGTGATGGTGCGTGCCTATAATCCTAGCACACAGGAGGCTGAAACAAGAGGATCACTGAGTTCAAAGCCAGCCTAATCTACAGTGAGACCCTCTCTCAAAAAACAAAAATGAAAAAAAAAAAAGATAACAAGAACTTGTACAAGAAGTAGTAATAACATGTGCCAGAGTAATATAATTAAATCATATTAGTAAAAGTTGAGCATGGTAGAAGATACCCAAAGTACTAACAACTCCCTAAGAGTTTATAACCTATCTCAGCAACATGAGACCCTGTCTTAAAAAAGTTGTTGGTAGTTAAAATAAGAAAATTAGATTGTTTCTCTTTGCTGTAATCACAGAAAGCCCCTCTGACAGCTGCTATGTCTGTAAATTTTGGAGCACTTGTTTGTTTCAGGTTTATTTGGGTTTTTTGTACTTGTCAAATAGAATGTTTGTCCTCCCCTCAGAGAAAATATGGGGGTGGTTTTCTAGTTATGTATGTTTGTGACCTTTTTTTTTTTTTTTTTTTTTTTTGGTGGTGATGGTTTTTTTTTAGAGAAACGGGCTACATAGTCCAGGCTGGCCACAAATTTGCAGTCCTTTTGTGCCAGCCAACTTCATTTTATTTTATACAAGGTCTTGCTAAGTTTCCCAGGCAGGCTTAAAATTGGAATCCTTATGCCTTTTTTTTTTTTTTTTTTTTGGTGGTGATGGTGTGGTACTAGGGGTTGCACCCAGGGTCACTGATCTGTTCCCCAGCTCTATTTTTTTGAGGGGGGTCTCACTAAGTTGCCCAGGCTGGGCTTGAACTTTGATTTCTTCTGCCTCAGCCTCTTGGAGTGCTGTGATTAGAGGCATGTGCCACCAGACCCGGCTTGTCTGTTAACATTTTTAACAGTATGACAGTGAGTGAGTGCCTTGACCTCCACGTTATATCTTATTATGATGTGTTAACTGGTTTTAGAGCCTGTCTTTGCAAAAATAAAATATCTTATAATTAAACAGGGTGATAACATCTAAGTAATAAATCCTGAAACAGAAATGATTGGTGTTGGGTCAGCCATTTTTTTGGAATGTTGGACATACTGACCATTCATTGTTTTTTTCTGAGGCCCCTACAGTCCTTGGTTGATTTATAATTTTTTTTTTTTTTAGGTACCAAGGATCAAATTCAGGGCTTTGTGCTTGCCAGGCAGGCACTTACGCCACTGAGCTATATCCCCAGCCCCCAGTCCTTGGTTGATTTAGTATGGTGTGTCCTCTTTGCAGCCATAGCAAATTGGGCAATCCCAGTTGATAACCAAAAGATGGTTGCATATTTATTATAAAAACGTGGCTCACATATTATTAATCCTCTAATAGTTTGGAGCCTTTGTCCTGTCAACCCTAAATTTACTCACCACATTTGGGGTGGGTGTTGTTGGGGTTTTTTGGTTGTTGTTTTTTTTTAAGATGGTCTCACTGTATATTCTAACCTGACTTTAAACTTGTGATCCTCCTGCCTATATCTCCTGAGTGCCAGGATTACAGGTGTGTGCCATAATGCCCAACCCTAGCTACTCTTCTAAAGTATGAAGTAATGCACAATTTACTGCCTCTGTAACAGGTGATCAAAACCGAAACTACTTCTCTTCAAAACATTTAGTAACCTAAAATATGCCGAGCAAAAGACTGCAGAGAGCTTCACTGCCATGATGATGATGATGATCTGTGAATTTCTGTTTCATACAGCATATGAGTATTAAAATTAACCAGGAAATCCAAAGGTCTAAAATCAGCTGGTAACAAAAAATTAAAAATCAGCTGGTTAAAATGTCGAGAGGCCTAGATGACTTACTGATAAGAAATGTTACTTTTTTGAACCCTACAGTCACCAACAAAGTCTTCAAAGTAAACATTTACTACTTACTTCTTTGCTACTTCCTCCTCTGCCTAGCAGCACACCTCTGATCTCCCCTGAGACTAACGATGCATGTACAGAATTTTTTATGAGATTAAAATAGCAGTGGGCTCCCTGAAGTGGCCACTTGACTTCTCTGGGCTCATTTCTTTTGCCCTCAAGTCCACGTGCCTTGTCTCCTAGCAGAGAACTGCTTAGGCTTTTCCAAATTTGTGGTTGCAAGGTGTTGCCATTGGCAACTTCAGTATCACTCACATGTTAATTGTGCACCTCATAAATTCCAGGCACTTCCTAAATAGCTGAAATATGAACAAAACTGCTAACTGTTCACAGAGTTTAGTGTGGTGCTGTAATGAGGGAGGTGGAAGATAATGCTTAAAAGAGGCTACCCAGACTTGAGAATAAGGTTCAAGAGATTATCAGAGAAGAGAGTATTTATAGAAAGTCAGGAGAATAGAGCCAAGAAGAATGGAACAAGGTATATCAGACAGGTGGAACAACCTTTGCAAAATCTGTTAAATCTGTCTTGCCTATTGGAGGTTCTGAAAGAACAGAAATATAATTCAGCCGCTGGGTACCAGAGGTAAATAATCATGAAGTACCTTTTATGCCATATTAAAAACTAGACTATTGGGCTGGGGATGTGTCTCAGTGATAGAGTACTTACTTACCTAACATGCATAAGAACGACAAGAAAAAGAAAAGAGTACATCTCAAAGTGCATATGGTCCTGCATTTTTCTCAGTAGTAGGCATCATGAAGAGGGAAGTTTATAGTTGCCAAGTCCAAGCCAGTTACGCTAATAAACACTATGGTCCAAAAGTTATGATTCCTAAGAAAACCATTATAAAAATAAGTTCAACATAAATATCAACAAAGGCTTTCTGTTGAAGCTTTCATCATATCACGACAAACGTGAAACTTCTCATTACAAATTTAACCCTTTGCTCTATATCTCAGCATTGTTTCTGGATTTGGGTTTTTTTGTCTTTGAGCCACAGTGTAGTTCAGGCTACTTGAACTCACAGCAGTCTTCCTGCCTCAGGCTCGTGAGTGCATATACCACCACAACGGGCTCAGCATTATTCTTGAATAAGTTTCTCTTTTCTTTCCCAGTCATCTCTATACATATTTCTGCCGTGATTTACTCCAGTATTTCTAGATCAAACTATTTTGTCTCTAGTATTTCATATTTGTATAGTTCTTTACATTTTGAAAGCACTTGCACTATCTCATTTAGCCCCCAACTTTCCTCTGAGGCATATGAGATAAATGCATACCCATTTAGCAAGTCATTAACTGAACTGGAAAACATTAAGTGATTTGGCCCCATAGGTGGTAGAAGTTGCACTTGGGCAGTGATCCCTTCTTGTAGTCTGTGCCCTCGTTTTACTCATGACCACCTGTGGATTTCCCCAGTTCATTCTGTATTATTTTTCTTATATTCTTAGTCTTGTTAGCTTTACATGGCAACCTCCTTAATCTTATGTAAGATAATACATAGCTTTGTAGGGCATCTTACTATTTCCTCACTAGTGTGGTTTTTATTTCAGCCAGGACATGAATTAGTAACAATTGTGATCATTCATGTAATGAGCACAGTAACTGTTCTACCAGAGATAATAGGAGAGAGTTTATACTATACCAGCTCACAAAATAAAAGGCCCCCACATTAATAAACACTGACATGCAGGGCCCTTGACAATGTGCCTTTGGCCTTGCATTAATCTCATTTTTCTACCATTGTTTCACCCACACAATTTGTAACCAGTCTCCATAAAAACCCAGCTTTAAATACTTTGTCATTGTATTATATACCCACTCCCCAGTTGTAGTTTTCTTCTGGTTACCAGGTTGCACCTCTATCTCTTTTTTTTTTTTCTTTCTTTTTTTTTTTTTTTTTTTTTTTTTTTTTTTTTTTTTTTTTTGGTCTTTTTGAGACAGGGTCTCACTATACAGTTCAGGCTGACCTTGAGCTCACTTTGTAGCCCAGGCTGGTCTCTAACTTGCAATAGTCCTCCTACCTCAGCCTCCCGTGTGCTGAGATTACAGGCATGCGCCACCATGCCTGGCTACACCTCTTTATTTCTTGATAATTTTGTCCCACTGTCAGTCTACAACACTATTTTCTTTGTTTACTTGTTTGTTTGTTTTTGTGGTACTGGGGATTGTTAACATCTACAACCTTTTTTTTTTTGAGACATGGTTTTACTAAGTTGCCTGTCTTATGCCCCTGAGCTATGTCCCCAGCCCATGAGTTTGAACTTGAGATCCTCCTGCCTCATCCAGCAAGCGTGCAAGGATTAGAGGTATATGACTGGCTAACACTATTCCTATCTTAATTCTTGTCAATTTCAACATACACACGGGTCAGTAGTTTTTAAGTATGGTGCCCGAATTGCAGTAACAGCAGAGATCTTATAAATGAAAATTCTCAAGGCTCTACCCCAGAAACTGAGAGTGGGACCTTGCAATCTATGTTTTAGTTGTCTCCTTGTAAGCTTAAATTTGAAAAACATTTGTATTAATAGTCCTTCCAGCCAGCCCCGGTGGCTCATGCCTGTGATCCCAACTCTCAGGAGGCTAAGGCAGGAGGATTGCTGTGGGTTTGGGGGCAGCCTGGGCTACATAGCTCAAGGCTAGCCTGGACTACCTCACAAGACCCTGTCTAAAAAATAAAAAGATAAATAATCCTGCCAACAGCCTGACCTCTCAGTTCCCCAAATAAGCCCAACAATTATGTCTTGCCCCTTCCTTGAGCATTGATTTACATCATTATCAAAAATATCAACCTTTTCTCCGCCAGCATTATCCTTCTAACACATTACCTCAGAAATTCCAACATTAATTCAGGTTCACCATGACCATCAATAACCTGACCCTTCCATCTC